TGGTGATTTTTTTGAGTTTAGTGATTAATTTTCGCACTAAGTAGCAGAAAAAAAAGGGGTCAAAATGATTCGTATTGGATAGTTGGATCTTATGAAATATATTGAGATCACCCAATTAAAAGTTGCAAACAATCAAGTTATCAACTGATTTTATGTGTTTTTGTATTGATGAGCCAAGAGTTAAGGAAAAAATTTCGTAGCAGAAGCAAAGTAGAATCCTGAGTTTAGTATCAAGAGCATACAAAATGATCGTATTCAAGGTAGAGTATGGTTGCAACAGGATCGTGTTCTCCGCTAGTTTGAGAGCAATGGCCCAAAGGAGATGAGGATGGTTGAGCTTTGACATCCAATCTACGTGATCTCTGATACTCTGGCTGGAGAATTTCCTTGATAAAACAAGACATCTGATAGCTATGGAACTTCCATTTTCCAGTGTTCCTCTGTATAGCTGCAAAGAATCAAAACACGTAGAGTAAAGCAAATGACTGATGGGCAGATCACAAGAACTAATCTTGCGTAAGACAAACCATACCTTTCCAAGGGAGCCTTCACCTAAGAAACGTGATGAATCGAAATCGTCTGTGGCTTCCTCTAACTCTTCAAAAGAAAATAACCGGCATGAGGCACACCTTGTGCACCTAGCTTTGCTGCTTGAGAGATTAACCCTGCAAGACGAAGTCGTACAAGGATATTAAATTCCTGAAAAACAATTGCCAGCAGCAGAAGTCTACAATTTGAGTCAAAGTTACTCACTTGCACTAGCAAGAACTTCGGAGGAGAGACTGGTGTGTGAGTTATCTGTCACAACCTTAAGCCGAGTTTGCGGCACTGACTTTTCTCTTGAACAACAGCAAGAGCAGCGGTTTGTGCATAGCAGGAGGAGTTCTAATACAAAAAACACAAGAACAAGAACAGCTCCACCAACTACAGCAATCAAAATCCCAATCTTTCTTCCTTGGAACTGTTTTCCCTCAGTTTCAGCCTCTTCGCATAAAAATTCTTGATGCTGATCATGACTGCCAATTATGGACAAGCTGTTTCCACCGATTTTAACAACTCCCTCGCCGGAAGCTCCTACCAAGCAACGGGGAGGGGTCCCAATTAATCTGGTATTCGACAAATCCACAAATCCAAGTTTGCCTCCACAGGTCAGATTAAGCGGTAGCTTCCCACTGAGCTTGTTAGATGCCAAGCCTAAGTAACTAATGTTTGGCAAAGAGAACAAGAACAGAGATGGAATTCCAATCAGATGATTGAACGACAAGTGAAGATGCTGAAGCTGAGACAAACCACCAAAACGTCTGGGAAAATGTGTTGCAGTAGTAACCAATAGACCTAATCACACTCGAAACCAGATTGAATCTAACATCTTACACAAAACAGAAACAGCCTAATTTCTGAATCCAAGAACAGCTGACAAAACTTGAAAGTAACTAACAAAAGGAAATGATTCCACCACAATGGCTCCTGCTTCAGTTCAGAGCAGCTTATAGAAATCTGAATAACGGATTCTTGATTTCAAACACGATTCATTATACCAAAACCATATAAAGGATTACTACAGATTCACCAAAAATTCACAACCTTTGAATCCTCTCATCTCCTTAAATCATTCTTCTGCCATATGATGATAAACATATTCAAATTCCCAGAAATATCCATCCTTATTATCTCCATGATCTCATCTCCAACAGATGCAGAAAAAAGAATCAGAATTTCAATTCCCTAAACCCTAATTTACTAATTACGTAGCTCACAAGATCCAAAAAAGCTTTCGCCCACAACAACAACAACAAAACCACCACTTCTTATCTAACGCTGCTCAAACTCTCGCTGATGGCGAGAGAGACAGAGAGAAAGTGAAAGCTGAGCGTCTTCGCACTGTTTACGCTTAAGGCTTGTTCCGCCGCTAGAGCAAAGAGACCTCACCGCCTCTGATTCCTCCGGACAAGCCTCCGCCACCACGCACTCCGCAAACGCCTTGTTCAAATGTCTGCAACCGGATCTCCGTGCCGGTCCCTCCGGCATCCGACGGTGGCACTGCAACAACGCTTCCTCCAACCGATCGCAAGATCTCATCGGAATCTCTGATATCTCCGGTGATCTCTCTCACGTCTTCTTTGATGATCCGATGATTATCATTAGTTGGTTGGATTTGGGCTTTTGACTTTTGAGCCCATATTCTCTTGGGTAATAAAATGAAGCCCACTTATATTACACATCATCACACACACACCAAACGACTATTTTCTTTCTTTTTTTGCCATTTGGAAGATCTAATATAAGGAAACCCCTAATATAAACCAAATAGGTTGGTTTAGGCTGCAAATAGATGACATGTAGATGAATGAACGGAAAAAAATAAATTGAACATAATTTAACTCTTTTTCTGTGAAATAGTAGATGAATGGGTTGAACATTTTCTTTTATAATTTGTTCATTTTTCTTATTTTTTAGTTGAATTGGTTAAATCAAATTTTCAACTTATTCTATCTCAAATGGTAAAAAAAATGAAATAAATAGTCACTATACAAATTTTATTTGAAAAGGATGATGATTTACTCTTTTAAAAAAATCAATCTACCATCCTCCCAACAGTAATATGGTGTTGTTCGTTTGGCAGTCGCGGAAGCTTGCGACTGCGACTGCGACTGCGACTGAAAGTTGTTAGTTTGATAATCACAGGATCTTGCGATCACCGACTTACGACTGAAATTTTTGATCGCATAAAAAATTAGCGATGCGATTTTTTTAATAGCGATTAGTCGCATGATTGTTAAACGAACAATATCCAACGATTTTAAAATCGCAGTCGTAGTTACAGCTACGGCCGTAATCGCTGGCGATTATAAATCGAACATGACCTATATCACTCTTTTTAGTATAATCATTCTTAATTCTCATTTTAAAAGTCAATCACATGTGGTGGTTATATGACTTAATCAGAAAAAGTTTGTGACTTTTTATTCTTTGCCAATGTTCCTCAATAGAAGTGGTTATCGATTTGACTACTTGCCATTGGCTTAGACCAACTATGTTTTTACTAGATGAGCGATCACGCTATGATTAGTCTATTATGTTTGAATTAACTAATTAACTACTATATATAATAGCACTCACATTGTTTTGCAAGTCATTTTTCGTAAATTTCTAGTAGTTGTCATGTATGACTTTGTTTGGAACATGTTAGATATCAACTCTCATACATATGTAACTAACTATACAATATTGTATTAAAATATGAAAATTTATAGATTAAAGATTCTCTCGTATCAAACTTTAGAAAGTTTAATACGTACAAGTACCCTCTTGTTCAATGTCGTTGGAGCTTTTGATGAATATTGGCTCGGGACATTTTTTTTTCTCTTAAAATAATTTTATTCATCTTTCTCTTCTTAAAAAGAGACATCATTTGAAAAACAATACACAGTTTAAAGAAGTATAGAGAAAAAAATAGAAACAAGACCACATGTGACGAAGTTACACGAGAAGTTGAATTGAAGACAAAGCAGGTTAAGGTTGAATAAACCAAAACCAGGTTGAAAGGTAAGATTCTTGAGGTTGTCGAGTTGGTGTGAAATTTTCATTTTTCTCTTTAAAGGTGGAAAGGTACGTAAGGTAAGGTTGAAGACAAAGCTCGGGACATTTTCTCTGTCAAAACATAGGTTAAAACAAATTTTATTTTTTCCTACATAGTATAGTAATATACGGATCCTATAATTAATTAGTATGAATTGTGCTCAATCATCTCTAAAACCCTAGTTGTTACAGTTCTTAAAAATCTTAATTTGGTTTACATCTTTAATCTCAAACCCATTGTATTGACCAATGTTCTTAAACTATCTATATATTGAACTAGTAATTATTATTTGTACAAACCCCTAATCGTTGCAAATGATCAAAAGGCATTAGAAACCAGCTATGAAATAAAATTACATCTCTTTTATATAGGAAAAATAAAATTTCATCTTTAAGATGAAAGTATGAGGAAGAATAATCTTCATGATCTTAATTAGTACAATCTATCATGTGTCCTTCAAATTAAAGATCTTCAAAATAAACTAGATTTGCTGATCAACGCAGAGAATCTGATCAATGTCGATCAGTGGTTACATACGGTACAATCTGTATTAGAAATGGCTTTAGCCGTAGTCAATTGTACATGAAAAGTGTAGACGTTGACTTTTCTTTGCTCGAACATTCTGAATAAAAATCTGCCAAAAAGAAGAAGATAGTATAGTATGCAAGATTGTTCTTATATGTATCTAGAACCAAGGATAATGCTTGTATATATCTAGCTATCCCCACTACAAAAAATTCCAAATTATTTACATTCAAACAAGTTTGATCTATTAGCTCTCATTGCATATGTACAATAAATCAATCATACTATTCCATGTTAAAAATGTATATATACTTTGTATAATATCTATCATATGGATTAGAGTGATGTATATAATAAGCACTAAATTGGCCAATTTAACCATAGTTAAAATCTATTTATAAGAAAAAAAATGAGAGATATTGTATTTAAGTTACTTAAAAAAATGAATATATTTTTTATTCAAAATCTCTCCTAAAGTCTCCAATAAGATAAATGGTTAATATTTTCAGGATTATATATGGGTCTTGTCACTAAACTAATACGCTTCTTTTTTTCTTCGTCACTAGGTGTATTATATGTTTATTTAATTATATTAGTAGTATAGGTCAAGGAAAAGAAACACATAGGCACATGTAAACGCGTTCCTACCAACAAACATGAACTTGTGGACATATTTCATACACACTGTTACTAAAACATATATGCGTATATTTCGGAGAATGAAGATGTGATACTCTGAAAATAACACATACTTGGATTTACTATAGGAAGTAAAATTAAGAAAATGACAAGTAAATCTATTGTTACCTCGAATTGTGATAGAGGGAATCGTAAAAGTTAACGCAGAAACGCCTTTCTCATGAAAATTTAGTTTATCTTGATTTGACATTGTTGGTGATTTAGTGACTGAAGCTGCAGGATGACCTAGTACTACTATCTATACACACACATACATACACAAAATGCATGCATGTAAACTATGTACATACACATGTCCGTGCATAAATTATATAGAGATGTGTGTATGTCGTATGTAGCGATTACCAGATCATGCTGGCAGCTTCAGCCTCTAAAAACCAACATAGATATAGATCCATGTAAATCGTACGTACATGAACACGATAATTGAAAAAAGAATGAGATAAGAGAAATGGCCACTTTTGAAGGTTTTTTACAAGATTTTTGAGTTTTTAGGAGAGGGCAAATTAAACATTATATATAACAAGAAGAAAAGCTAAGAGACAGGAAAAATGTCTAAGCTTGATAATATTAATCGAGATTCTTCTCTTTCTCTCTCTCACACACACATGTATATAACAAAAAAAATTATCAACAACAGCAACTTTGAATAATAATTATTTAAATAAGAAAGGAATAATAATACACGTTACACTGATGCTTGTTTGGATAATTGGACCACAAATGTGTATTTTTTTGTTTCTATTTTTTTGTCAACATGTGTATTTATTTTGGGTATACGATAAAATGTCAATATAAGTTAATACAGTTGCGATCATGATAATTTGTTATTGTATATAAATATCGGTTTATCAATAAATTAATATTTCTTAATTATATATTTAATCTATCAAAGTAGATATTTTCCGTGAGAATTTAGAAGAATATGTGTTTGGACAGTTTCATTCAAATATTATTACTATCAATTTTTTTTTTACTTTTGGCTAAACCAAATACAATATTTGTTAATTAAGAGAATAACAAAGTTATCGAGTATATTGATTTTTTGTTGTTGTCTATATATGAGATACTAGTTTAAATAGTTCATATTGCAGTTCTTTATTGACAGCCAAGTGTTCCAAATGGCATAAATAAAGAAAATTGTTTAGTTCAAATATGATGTGGTAGAATTTTTTAAAAAATTTAGCACTATAGACGGTTAAATGATTAACACCATAACATTATAAAATATGTTTACGTGTATACAAACACATTAAATGGCAGTAATTATCTATTTATAACCTACAACTTCAATTCAATTCAATTTAAATACATTTAAACAAAAAAAAAAATCATACAGAAGGAAATTAGTAGTAGTAGGCACACCTACTCAAATCTAACATAATAAACTTTTGTTTTTGTCTATTTCATATTTCTGCTTCGTTAAAAGAAAAAAAAATCGAGTTTCGATCTTCAAAGAAAAAAAAAAAAGAGAAGATAGGGTTTGGGAATTAATGGCTGAGACAAATGAAAAGGATACGACCAAATCCGAAATCTTCATTGCACGCGTCTTCTGTCTTATTGCATCTCCTCTTTCTTTGTCCTCAGCCCTCACTATCCATCCAACATGTTCACACATACATGCATACACAAAAACACTTACACATATTTGTAAATTACTATGTGAAACCTTCGATTTCATGCACGAACACTCATATTAAAACGTTCAAAATAGTTTTTTTAGACATATATATATATATATGTATGTACCAGTCTCCGGATCATTAGTAGAAGAAATTTGATATATTTTATGTAATCATATTTCCACGCACAACAACACCACATTCTTCTAATCAATCACAAAACTTCCCATGTTCGGATACAATGTATTTGTATTCATCACTAATTATACTAGTAGTATATAAGTCTATAAATTGGTGTGACAAGAAACAAAAATAAGTGTATTAATGGATGTGCTAACAAGTAGTAATAAATAGACGTTGGCATGACAAGATTTGTTGGAAGATGGAGTTGTCTTGAGTAGTGTGTTGTCTCTTGTCATCTCTAGTGTCTTTTGTTTTGTGTTTTACTTATAAAATTGAACATTTTCAGTTGTACGTAGAAATAATATTCATACATTTTTTTTCTTATACAAACTAAATATCCACCTTAATTTGACTCAATTAAGATCTGTTAGTTTTAACTTTAAACGAAGGCATTGCTAATTAGTTGATATGTCTCTTCATAACATAAAATATGTATATCACTTGTCTTCATAATAACTACAAAAAACAAGAAACAAGTATAACGCTACGAGTCTATGCATGATAACTCCATTAATTGTTTTCCTTGTTTTTGTTGTTATAATTGACGTAAATAATTTAATAATTGGGTCCATAGAAACGTGATTATGTTTTAATGTCTCCCATGATTAGAATCAGAAAAGATAATTAGACTTTATCAAGTGTGACGAAAAAAAAATCCCCACTCATCTTTTTTGTTTGTGAATAAGATTCGTTAACCAAACCAAATCAATGACGTGATTATTTGTGTCTGTCAATCAGCATCTGCCAGACTGCATTTACTATTTTATTATTATTTCAAAGTTGGTAGTTAAAAACAAAAAAAATGTTATTTACTCATTTAATTACATGCTTTTTTTTGTTTTTGTTAAAAGTGATTACTAGTTGCAAATTAAAAAACTCAAAACTTTATTAAATGAAACAAAGATTGTGTTTCAAGTTTAAAAAATCCAATACGTCGTAACTTGTTATACCTTGCGTGTGTTCCTCGTTTATGCTCTGCATCATTACTTCTCTATCTTTTGCATACTCTGTCTCTGCATTCTTTCTCAGTCTCTGTTTTAGTGTTTTGCATTCTTCATATTCGCTTCTTATAAGCTCAGTGTTTTGTGCTTAAAGTGGTTGAAAGTTTGTGTCTTTGAGAGGTTAAAACTTCTTAATATGATTGCAATTTTTTTGTACAATTGCAAGAGTTTGTAAATATTGCTACTAGTTCTGCTTCTTACTTGGCAACTCGATTGTATCTTCGATAACGAATGCAGAATAATAGAAAGAACATCCAAATTTACGAGTTCCCTTCGAGTTACCGAAGTACACCTTGCCTCGAAAAAAGTCATGTGTCACCTATACTACTCGGAAAGACATTGCTCTCTTAGTGTTGCATGGTTCTAATAGCATTTCTCTCTTTCTCTTGCTGGTACCAATCGGCCAAAGAAGAATTACTAAAGAAATGAAGAAGTAATCACATACCACTCTAAAACCTTCTAACCTCCCTTTGACATAAACGCAATCTGCAGCCCACTTCTTTTTATCAAGACGATAACCAAGCTAACCGGAAGATTTGAACCAAGTTACATGTAAACCGAGATGAATCCAACAGATGCGGAAAATGGCTCATTAGTGTTCTGTAAAGAGGATAGATAGATTCTTGACCCAAATAACCAACTGCAAAAAGCTTATGCCAGAACGAACAATATGATTCATACATACAAAATGCCACCTAAACGCCGCTTAGATCATCATAGTTATCAATCAAGCTATATATAAAGAATACAGCTTCCTTTTCTTGATCATCTCGGCCATCATAAGAACCAATTTACGAGCAAATCATTTGAACCGTTGTTTCTGCTACTTATAAATCGTAGAATCCAGTCACTAAATCTATCACAAAGATTGTACAAAGTTCTTATTCTTAACTTAAACATAGCCACTTTCATACATACTCTCGAGTTCCTATCATACAATGCTCTCAGCGAAGATGATGCCTGTGGAAACCAAAGAACCTTCAACATAAGCAAATCTTCAATCACCATTCCAAAAATTGTCATTCTTTAAAGAAACACATACCTTAATGTTTCCTTTGTTCCTTTACGGATTTTGCAACGTATAGTTGGAAGCCCTAGCTTCTGATGCGCCTCGTACCGGTGACAACCCGAGAACCCTACAACAATGGAAGAATCTATCATCTTTAAGTTTTCAAGAACAAGAACCACTAAGAACAAATTTTTCAAATAAAAGTACCATAGTAAGTTCCATCAACTTCAATCACATCAATCTGTTCCACAAACAAAACACAAAATGTGATTTTGAAATGTGTGATTCTGGATTTGATGAATATGAATCGAAGAAATTTGAAATGCGAAATTGCTTAACCGGAACTTGAAGACCGATTTGACTGATACTATCCATAAGCTCCTTAACTTTGTTCTGATCGTTGGATCTTGTTCGCATCAACGGTCTTCGTATCTTCTCCAACGGCAATTCCACAATCATCGGTCCTACACCGCCGCTAGATTCTCCGATCACCGGCGGCGAACCTGAAATCACAAATCAAACACTGAGACTCAGCTCCAACTTCAAGCTTAAATTTCAGATTACTGTGTAAGAATTAGAGCGTTACCGTTGGATGAAGAAGCTGAAACAGAGAAGCTTCTCAAGCTAATTGGTAATCTCATCATCAAATTCGCCATTGTCGCCGTCTCCTTCTCCTCTCAATCTCTAAAAATAATATTTATTTGAAAATATTTGTGAACGAAATATAAAGATTCAAAACGACGACGTATGTTGATAAATCTCTTATTTGCTATACAAACAACACAACGAAGTCGTATGATGAGTATCAAACGTGTCTCAAGTTAATTCATTTTTTTTTTGTTATCAATATGTACCTAAGCAACTCATGCTCTGTGTGGTACCTAATCACATTGTTAAAATGGAAAATAAAAATGAGATACTGCTAATCTACAAGTGATAAGCCACTCAAGATTCAAAGAAGAGAATAATACATGTTGAAGATTGGGTGGGTAAGATAAGGGCTCTCTCTCTTGTTAGGCTAGAAGGAATGGAATTCTGAACCTCATGTGCTAGAGTAACAGCCGTAAATTGAACCTGAAGCGAATTGGAGGTAGTCGAATTGGAACTTGACAATTTTATCAAAAAGTCAAACTAAACTTTAGGATTTAAATAATATTTCGAAAGTTCATGTTTTTTTCATCCCAAATTTGAAAGTTCGCGTTGTTTTCGACATTTTTCCCATTTTTTTTGGTTTGTCAAAAAATCATAGCCAACCACACGATGACACATCATGGTTCTTATAATTTCTAAAGGCCCTGATAAGGAACGTTCAAACAATAATTAATTATTTTGATTTATTTTTAAGGGATTTTATTGGTTTTTGATTTAAATAGTATTTCGATGACTTTAATAAAATCATAAAAACTAATTAAATAAAAGTTTTCTATAATCTTGTTGATTAATTGTTCCATAATCTGGTAAAATTTTCCAAACGATCTCTATTTTTTAAAGATATTTTCTATGATTTTATTTTATGAAGAATAATGTATAAAATCATAAACTACGAAAAAAAATTCATAAACCA